AGTCACAAGTACCCGTGGGAACAATGATAGAGCAATGCTATTGCTGCAATTGCTTGTGACTTGAACTCAGACTGGAAGCGTGTGCTGGACTTGTGGTGGTCTTGTGCGGTCTTGCGATGGTTTGGGGAGGTCTCGACTACAAGGCTGCACGTTGTCCGTGAAGAGGTCAGAGTTGAGCAGCGGTGTCCCCACCATTTCATTCATGAACTCCCAACTGCAATGTTATTGTTGAGCCTAATACAAGCCCATTACAAGTCAAGCCAAAAGCTGTTCAAGTGAACTGAGACAAAAGTATCCCTTTGTTGCTGTTCACCATGTCACTCACGACTGGTCTAGTGAAGGGGCTTGTGACTGGACTTGTGACGGACTCCACTCCAACACTACCCAACTGTCTGGTACATTTATCTTAATGCCAAATGTGTTCCGACCCCCCCCTCCCAAATGTACAATACCCTCCTAGGTTGGCTTTCGAAACCTGCACAGATATGTAACCATGATTTATATAATTGCGACGAGACTGTGCAGAGGCCATGGGACAAACGTCCAAAGGAAAATTGTGTCTCCAATTGAATGGAACAGCATTTGAACCACAAGACATTCTGCATTCGTAACTGGTGCTTACTAATAACATCCCAGAGTGTGTTGTATGATCGTCGTTGTATGATCGTCGTTATTTGTCTATAGAGGTTCGAACTCCAACATAATCTACCTGTGAGTTATTCAAAACCAGAACAAAGAGATAGCCTAATAACTGCTGAACGTATGAAGGAAAATTTACCTGAGGGCGGACCGAGAAAAAGGGGGGGGGGCATAATCAAAGTGTGGTCCCTTGCCATTGACTTATTAACTGTTCTGTAAACAGTCAATCCCAGTGTTTTTAGGTCAAAGGATTGCCAATTCCCCTGCCCCCGGTCACATTCTGAACTAATAACCTGCCCTACTTTTTCGTGCAGATTAAAAATGGTCCCAGATAATGAACGCCTATAACAACAATTTGCAGTTCCATTATAAGCAATCAGGCTACTGGTGAAAAACACAGATGGGGAGGGTATGCTTTGTAGACCTAGGAAAAATCACAAAGCCTTGGCTAAAAAGGAAAGAATAAATTTTTTTCCCTTTTTTTTTTGAGTGTGTACGGTGGAGGGAGGGAACTATTCATTTTTCCCCATTTCAAAAGCGTGATAAAAAATTGTTCAGGCAACTGACAGAAGCCTTCATGGGGCCCAATCCTACAATAGAAATCACTTTTTCCTTGGGGGCTGGAAGATGGGGTGTCCCACTTTGGACAAGTGCGTAGGGAAAATTCCAAACTTCAGCTTCATAATGAGAGTCTGACTGATGTATAAAAAGAATGAAAAAAATGACGGAAGATGCCAATCTGGAATACAAACGCAAGTGATTCTGTGAGTGGTACCCCACGACGTGGGCAGTCCAACACAGAAAGGTCTCAGTATATCTGTGACGACTTCATGAGTGGCCACTAATCAGACCAAAATGGTTCAAGTACTTGAAATGTTCCGAAGCAAAGCACATCCTGGGTCTTCTCCTACTGTGGAGCTATGAGAGTCTGCGCAAACCAGCCCGACAGGAAGTTCAAAGGTCAAGCCTGCATGCTACCCCTGATGTGGGGGTGTGGCGACAATATACTGGACATCATTGCAAGAGACGAGCAGCAAGAATTGACAGAGTTTGTAGATGCCTCATTTTTATGCAGTTGTCCGGGCTGCTTCAAGCCTGGTAGCACTGGGCAGTTGACGCCCAGTAGTTGTCATCTCCTTGCAGTCACAAAAAACGGTGCATCCTTCACACGGGAATGATGTTTCTGTGGTACGCCAGTACCAGGTGTGCGCACAGGTTTGGCATTGAATGCACTGGGCAGGCATGACCAATATCTGCTGCAAATTTCCGCCTGCACGCTGCGCACCAACTTGGACATCTCCCAACCAACCTGTCTCTTCTATGCCGGCGAGGCGTGGGAGTGCTACGAGCCAGCGAGGGTAACTGCAGAGGCATCTCAGATCTCAGATTTTTTTTCACTCCGGTCGGCGAGACTTGTGAGGGATATCGCAGTGCCCCCACTCGCACGGAAAAGGGGTCGGGAATCCTCCCTGCACTGTCGGCTGAGTTAACACAGAAGGAGAAGGCCTCTCCGTTGACGTCTTTGACGAGAGGGCCAGCACCTAGGCGTGAGACCCTTCTCTGTTCGCTCCTACTCCAAAACAACGAGAGAGGAGTAATTGCCATCCTTTGCGCTGGGTGCATTTCACCGGGCCGTCAGTGCACAGTTCGGGAGGCTCTTTCTCAGTTTTTCCTTCGGCTGCTCTGGGGTCAGGGGCGAGCCGTCATTGCGTTAACGGAGGTCCATTGACTCCCGGATGGTAGAACTGACAGGTCTGTGCCCTCTCGCAGCCCCGGGGAGTCATGAAGTGCCTGCAGACGGGCCGGGATGCGAAATTGACAGCTGCATGGAGGGAGAGAAAAAAAATATGCAGCAACTACATCGCATCGGAAATGACATAACGGAAATGGCTGAACTTTAGGGTGCATTTGAATAGTTACTCCTGTTAACACGAGAAGGACGCGTGCGCATTACACTCAGGTGCAGGAGTATACCCCCCCGGCAAGACTATACTCTCGCTGACCCTCGGGTCGCACTCCAGCCGTTCGAGCACTCAGGAGTACACTTGTGTTAGCTCGCTCGAACGCACCCATCAAAACCTGTTTCCAAATTACCGTTGAAGTGTTGGTCAAGATAAGACACTGGACTGGTGTTAAAATCTTTACCAAAAGGGCACTGAGGAGGATAAACGTGTTTGATACTTGGTCACAATTTTCTTGCGCTTTCAAAAGTTTTCTTTGACAAAAGATCCATTACTGTTTTCCTCAAGAGGCACACTGTTACCTCCTCAATCCAAACATTCCTACTTTATCCACTCCAGCATATCTATTTCAAAATACTCTCAACCAAATGTTTACAAGTTATTAGAAAAGCACTGACATAACGCAGGTTTTTAAATTGTTCATCAATCCCAATGATTTTCGTAATAAACCCAACACATTGTAAGAGTCAGACACTCACAAGTCAACTCTGCAACAAAACAGGCAAAAATGACAAAAGAATTCAACCTTCCAACCATTGTACAGTCCCCAAACCTCCTCACCCTGCCAATTAAATCAGGAAAGTTTAGGAATGAGCTGCATAATATCCAGCAAAAATCCCTAAACCAGCAAGAAACCGCTATCTCTGTACTCATAAACTTTCTATGGACACTAAGCCCCGCGAAACTTTTGGCAGGATTTTTCAAAAGGCTAGAGACAATGATGTTAAAAGCCAAGCCAGTTAATGTGACAAGTACAAAAGTTTCGGTACCTCCCCTTCCACGTCCACCTCCTCCACGTGGCCACGGATTGCTCAAGAGGGGCCTGGGGGGACCCCTGGGGGGCATGTCTGGGCCTCCGGGGCCAGGGAACCGAGACGGGCCGTTAGGGAACTGGGGTCCATTGAAGCGTGGATTGAAACCACCTCTGCCCGGTCCTGGAGAGAGAGGGAAAATAAGGAGTCAAACCGCAACGTCAAACTGATCAAAATGTCCACTTTTGCTCAATTTTTGGATATCAAACTGTTTGTTATGTGCTCAGTTCACAATGGGCATAATGTAGATTTAACTTGGACAAATTTTTTTTCAAATCTCAGCCGTGTCTCCTATATTTGCCTTCATCTTGAACTCCGCAATGCATTTCTGAATATTGACTATTAGGATAAAACGAAAAAATGCCCCAAACTATGGCCTGATGTTAGACAGCAGATGTTCCTGCGGCAGAAACTTGAGCTTCAAGGTATCAATTTGGGGATTCAATTCCTGAAACCGAGACCCGACACTGAAGATGGAGACACGGCCCACGGTATTGAAAACATGCTGCTCATATGTTTAAAAATGAGAATATACCAAGCAAATGTGATGTTACCAGTTCCTTTAAATGTGTAAAGTTCAAAAGATGAGGAAGGAGCCAGTTTATAAGCGATAGGTCTTACCTCAGACAAGCTATCATCACCTGCTATGAATTACTGCTCCACATGCACCTTAGCTTTAATATCATGTCTGCTGCTGGGTATGCGATTTGTGAATATGGAAATTTGGCCAATAAGCCAAGTCCCTCGGCACTTTTTCACAGAGCATTGCTGAATCGTTCAAAACCTTCCATTTCTGTGCTTGAACTTTCACGGGGCACCAAACCCCACGTGTAGTAGCAGCACTTGATATAAATTTCCACAGTCCTGCAATACTCTCCCCGAAAACCCATCTCATGGAATTTGAAGGATATGGGAGCGCTAGGGTGTATGGCAATACAAACGGGTCAGGTGATAAAACTTTTAGAGCTCACCTCCAAAGCGGGGACCCATTCCACCTCTGCCTCGCATGGGGCCAGGCCCGGGACCGGGACCAGGACCGGGACCAGGTCCCCCGGGGCCCCTAGGACCCCAGCCCTCGGGATTGAAGTTGGGCCCGCCCGGGTGGTTGGGCTGTGGTGGACCTAATGAACCTTGGGGGGAAAGTAAACGAATATTGGAAAATGTCACCATGAATACAGTCTGATGACTCCGAGTCTTTGTCTTCAGTTGAGGACAAAAAGGACGCACAATAATTAAAACCCTTGGGGCGGCCACGCCCAAAAACGAAGACTGCTTTCTCCACCTGTAGATTCTGATCACCAGGTCAGTTCCCGGTCATGCCTGAACCTGTATGACTCTTCTATGCTAGCTAATACATCCCCCAGGTCCCCTCTAGCTACTTTTCATTATTCTGCTCTGGAAGTACAAGTAATACCGGGTCACAACCCAAACAGCCGACCAGTCAGCACAAGTCTGTCAACAAAGAGATCCAGTTCCTGATAGCGACCATATGGGCTCCTTGGGGTGACTGATCTTTCAAGAATTTCAACTTGGCACTAGTTGGCGTCTGGCCAACGGGAGTTTACAGGCTTGTAGTGTACACCTGGGGCAAGGACTACACAAACTCTTTGCCAAATTGGCCCACGGGAAAAAAAACGTTATGACCATATTTGGTGATATGTGTCCATCTCTATCCCCATCTCGTTGACACAAGGGTTTGTAAAATTAATTAAAAGTGCCTTTTCTTGATATTCCTGAGCATGCTTATGCTATTAAGTAATGACACTTTCCAAAATGTGGACCTAATTCCCTGATCCAATCTCAAAAAGAGAATGCAATTCCCTCTGTCCAATCTGTAAGGATGACAGTGATGGTGATTTCTGGCAATGCTAATAACAGCCAAACCTGGCACAACTATGAAATGTGTGGTTATGTGGTCAAGTTAAACAAGCACATTAAGCCTCCCCCCTCCCCTGCCACACCAGCTCCTCCCCTTCAGGAAGGGGGAAATCCCCACTCAGCTGGACGGTCAATACCTGGTTGTTGATTCTTGAAGGGTTCCAGCACCTCCCTGAGTTTGTTGATCTGTTCCTCTTGGGTACCCCCCTGGTTGCCCTTCAGTGAAAAATGCATCGGATCGAGAAAACACTTCAGTTGATGTTCACAGCAATGCTCTTTGAAGGAAGACACATTTAAGCTAATCCGGAGAGTTTTCAAGAGGATGTGTCGTTAGCCTCACTAAACAGCAGTCTGGGTTGGGTGTTTGATAATGAGGACGTGCATCCACTTGGTTACAGTGCTTCACACGTCTCACCTCACCATAGGGGTGAGATTGTGGGTGCGGAGAAATTCAAGTATTTCCAGCAAAGGGATTTTGAGCAAAGGGAACAGTAAAATGCTATGATTTTGGGGGCTTTCCACAGCTACGTAGGCATGAATTCATGTCCAAATGGCTCTAAATAAAGAGTGAAACTGAGGCTTGTTTTTTTCTAATGCACAAAACTAGCAAATCATGAATGACTTAATAACCTCTAAACTGCAAAACGTCGAGACCAAATATCCTAATATTTGGAGAACTTTTGAGATATCAACCTCCCATTACCATGATTGAGTTTAGCAGGTTCTGCACATTGGTGATGGTGGCATTGGTGGAGGGCGGCTCACTGTTGGGCAAGCCGGGACCTGGAAGGGGCTGGCCCTGGGTGCCTGGCTGTATCGAGGGAGGGTGTCCCCCGGGGATCTGCTGGACCAGGCTGGCTAGGGCTGGCGGGAGGTTGTCCAGCTGCAGGCCTGGGGGTAAGGTGAGGCCCTGTGGGTGGTTGCCTGGATGCAGCGGGGGCTGGCTACCCGCCGGGTTGCTGGTCAGCATGGGCTCCGAATAGAGGGGGGTGGATCCCTGGGAGGAATTGGCCGTCTCCTGAGACAACAGAAAAAGGAGAGGGGGACTTCATTATTACACACTGCATAATGGTCAGGGTTTTTTAATAGCCAAAAGCAGTTTCTCTGGTAGTCAAGGAAAGAGTCCATGAAATGTGCTCATGACAAAATTCTCACACGGAATACAACATACATGTAGATGATAACAGACAGAGCAAACCTTGCAACAGGAACTGTTGCTGGCTACGGGGGACCAGTGGTTACAATGAACAGGTGAGCACAAACAGCCAGTTGCCACACCGGACGTGTGACAACAATGGACAAGTGGCATGCTGGACCAGTGGCAATAATGGTCAGGTGGTTACGAAGGACCAGTGGTCACAACAGAAAGGTGTCCATGATTGACCAGTGGCCACAACAGACTGATGCCCATAATGGAAACATGGTCACACTGGACCGGGAGGCCACAATGGAAGTGGTCACACTGAACAGATGGCCAAGATGGACAAGTGGCCACAATGGACCACTTGCCACAATAGACAGGTGGTCAAAAAGGATAGTTTGGCACAGTGAAGGCCATCATAATTTTGTAAGTTTGAAAGTCCTTTTGCGGAGGTTTTGAGTTTTCCTAAAGACAGAATCATGCTGACAATGGTTGGAATTCTCTACCTACATGTAAATGTGCATATCTAATAAAAAAATTACCAAGACGGAAAAAAATGTAAACCATGCAGCACTACGAGACTTCTACGAAAATGCCACTACTTGTCAGCAATCTGCACTTGAGAATTGGCAAAAAACTCCAGGATTGCAACTATCGGTCCAAGTATCACAGATTCGTTCAGGCAAATTCAAAAAAATTCAATAACGTCCAGAGACAGGTCAAAGAAGTGAAGACGCCAAGGAAGAGGCAAACAATGGATAAACTCTAATGGATAAACAATGGCTACATGCGTTGTTTGGCATGCACAGGGGTTTATCCACTACCAACACAGGGCAAGGGTTCCCCTCATTTTCTCTGTTTTCTCCGAATGATGCAATCTACATTCAGAATTCACATCTTGGCATGAACAGAAAAAAAAGCCCTTTTTAGCTTGTTATAGTTGAGGTCTGAAGACAAATGACACTGCGTTCGATTTGGATGCTTCCATATTTATTTGAACAGACAAAATCGGAGAAATCATGTTTTCCTTACAGGTGCTCTTTAAGTCATTCAGGGTACTGAGCGGACATTATACCCAGAGACCTTAGGGGATCAACACCGTTAGGTGAAAACAGACGGACAGACAGACAGACAGACAGATAGCCCGAGCAAGGGACAGACAGCACAGACAACTCACATCAGCATCAGGTTTCCTCTTGGTCTCCTTTGGGTTAGTTATGAAATGAAAAAGGATAGAGTTTACCGGCAGATCATTCGTGAACACAGCACCAGGACAGAGGCACTGAGAAACGCTGATATCAAAGGGCAGTTTCTTAGTTCTTGTGGGGGAAGTGAAACTGAACAGATCAAAATGCACACCCCTGTTAAAAAAGGTAACTGAATAAGACAGGATGTGGGTCATTCTAAAGATTAGGGGTCCATCTTTTTTTGTGTCCCTGCCACATCTGAAAAAAAATGATTTTTTAAGTTCAGAACACATTTTCCAATTTCCGAGGGTAATGATACAATCCATTTTACGTGTACCTGCCAAACAAAGAGAAACAGTTTTGAAATCAACTTCAGTGATATTTCCACGTCTAATTATACACAGGTCAGATTCCAACAGGGACACAACAAGTCACACTTGAGGACCCTGAAATTTATAGAATTGCATAGAATGACCCGTGTGTTTTTACAAAGCAACAAGGGTTTGTGGGGGCATTTGGCATGGGACGTGCTGGGCATGTGCAACCAATTTGTGATTCAATGCAAGGTGCTGCGGCCGAGCACCAGAGCCCCAGATGAGCCCCCGTTGGAAAACTTCCCATCGGAATGTCTCTTCTTTGTGCACTTCAACTCAGAGTGGATAATGAGTTTTAAAAAACTCAAGGATTTTTCTGTGGCCAGCTCATTGGCCGGAGAAAGACGGGCCAGCACAAACTGGCCAGCTAACCAACCAGCCGGCCAACAAAGTATTAGGCTAGATCCCACTCACAGGAATTGGAAATAAACTTTAAACATACAAACTAATGGTAATCATCTCACTTCGCGTAACACACTGACAGCAATAATGCTCAACCCACCTACATATGAAAAGCAATTTGTCTGTATAATACGAACCCAATTACTGCGTTAATCATGGCATCTCTGGATTAACCACGGCTAGCTATACTTTCTGTCGACATTTTCCACTTTTCAATCCAACACACGTTCAGTAATGAATTTTTCTCACATAATCAGAAAAATACATTAAGTTTTCAAACTCACGTCTTCCAGGGGTATCCTTGTTGGCTCCTTGGGCTCAAACGGCTCTGGGTCGGGCTCCTTGGGCGTGTCGGGGATCATGCTCTTATCGAAGTAGATCTCCTGCAGGACAATCATTTCTCGCTGCTTCTGGACGCCCTTTTCTAAGCTATTGGAGCCGTATTCTATGGGTGGGACATCTATGACCTGGATGCGGGCTGGGGTACGCCACTGGGCGATAGACAAAATGACCAAAAAAGGAGACATTCATTTCAAAATTTCATTTCATTAAAAAGCAAAATGCTGCTAGGTCCTAGAATGGTTAAGATTGGGGATACTAAAAAAGATATCTTTAAATTAATGAAAAACATGGCAAAGCGAGTCAGATGGTGGGTGCAATCACACCATGTGGGGAAGAGGGCACAGAAGACCGACAAGACAAAATCCTGTCTCCACGGAGGACTGACTACACCGCTTGAACTTGAAATGTCAAATCTGCAAGAGTTTCCTGTCCCGAAAGTGGATTGTTTGGCGGGTGGGGGACTAAAGAGGCAGGAAGGGGTGAATGGGGACTCACCGGTAGGAGGTCATTGCCAGCGAGGTGCGAGGTGGCCCCCTCGCCGTGGAGTTTAGCATTCTTCATGGCCTCTCGCTCCATGACCATCTCCATGTGGGCGGCATTCCGAAAGTCTTTGGGCCTGTTCACGTTCACTGCAGGGAAAAAAAGAAAGTATAAAGCAAATACTTCAGAATGCTCACACTTTCATGCTTTCAAACATATCGCTTAGTGGAAAAAAAAATTGGTGCTTAGCTGGTGCTACATGTTAGTTGAAGACTAAATCAGGACAGTAGACAATGATAATGCCCAAGCTGAGGAAAAAGGGACATGACCAGACTCAAATCTGACGTCTGGGTACAGAGATTCTATTTCCGCTTCCACGGTCCAAATTCTCTCTCCCTGAAAGAGGACCCAAGGCCCACCTCTTTCGGTTTCGTCCATCTCAAAGTAGCAGATGTCCACCAGTTTCTCCTCCTCTTTCCACTTGACGCACTTCTTGGACTTGGTCGGTATCAGCTTCAGGTTGCCCGTGCCGGCCGAGCTCTTCTTGTCCGCGTCACTCGCCTCGTCTTTGCCCTCCGACTTCTCCGAGGTATCCTCGTCGTTTTGGCCAGAAGAGTAGAACCGGACTGCAAGGTGAATTGGAGCACGGATGTTATGCCAAAACATGAATGCTTCGACAGAAAGTATCCCACGTGGATCATCCACACATCAGCTGAGGTAAGTATGGACTGGTACCATACAATTCATTTTATTGGTCCACTTCTGCGATAACGATCTAATGGCTGATTCCTTGGCAATTTTTTGTTCTGTTTGTAAATTTTGCACTTACAGGTTTATCGCATATTCTAATGCCAACATATTCTTTACGTGTATATGGCTCAGTAAACTCACCGAACTGCAATTTGCAAAAGTTTAGGACCAATTACAGAAAATGCATCAGCCTGAAGCAAAACCAAACTTAAACCAATCAATCATGGCAACTTATGTTTATTTTCAATGTGTAACCTTGGTACCTTGGTTGAACATTTTTGACTACATTTCCATGATTTGACATGTTAACAGTCTAATATTCAGTGTTCCCTCCTTTATTTCTGATTGCTTAGACTGCCTTTTTTTTCCCCAAGCTGCCTTACAGACAAAATGTCATACAAAACCTGCCTTCGTAAAAAACTAAAAAACTTCATTCAAATGGGTATATAGCACTACACTGATGTTATGCACCACTGTAAACTCATGTTCAGTAATCAGTCAATGAGACAGTGGAATGCAGGCCCAGTGACAGAAATACCAATAAAATTCCAGGTGGTCTTAAACTTTTGCAAATGACTGTATAGTCCTGGGAAGTCTTTGTTAAACCAACACATGCGCACTCTGATTTTGGGTAAAACATTAATTTTCCGAAGTTCTACTTCATTTGCATGTAGTGAGGAGATTTGTAAGATTTACACTGTGATCAGTATGATTAGCTCAGAACAGCAAAATGAAAATGATCAGCTCCAAGAGAATGGGTGCAACGCTCTAACTTTTTTACTTACATTTTGGAGGGTCCGGTTTTGTTTCCTGTAACAAAGCCACAAAAATAATAAAAAATCAATTATTTCCCTTTGAAGACTTGTACAAATTATATCCACGTCAGTCTAACAGTACCACAACAAGAACAGCACCCTGTTAAGACAGACATGCCAGTTTAATCCACGCCAGCAAAAGTTACTGATGTTGTAGTCAAGACCGTGATGAGACCAGATCCTAGTAAAAAGGGTGAGCAAATGACAAAGGAAAGCTTTTGTTCCAGTTCATATGAAAGCTTAGGACTTGAATTCAGACCAGAGGTCTGGTGTCGGTCATGCGGGATCCTCTGACCGTCTTGAGGAGTCTTGATTACGAAAGTTACCCGTGTTACATTGTGAACACTTAATGTTAATGCAGTCACCACTAGAACACTGATTAAGAAATGTTAAGAAAGTGCCATACTGGCAAGTCAACATCTGAGAATGACGGTTGTTTTTTTTTTTTACTCAAAAACTTAATAATTAACACTTGGAAGTTGACGTCCAGTTTCAGTCACTTTTTCTACAAGATTCCAACATATGTATGCACGCCCATCTTACAACAATCGCTTGTGTACTCATAGCAAAATAATTTCTGACTTGAAAAGAAATCATTTTTTGGCTGTGTTTCAATTTTAGGGAAAAAGTTGGGAACCACAATTATGCTGATATTTAAATACTGAACTCCGATGCGATGTAATGCACACAGCTATTAGACAGAATGGAGCTATTGTACAATACCAATAGATGTGGGAGGAGTTAAAGCTGTACAATACCAACAGATGTGGGAGGAGTTAAAGCTGTACAATACCAATAGATGTGGGAGGAGTGAAAGTTGTACAATACCAATAGATGTGGGAGGAGTTAAAGCTGTACAATACCAATAGATGTGGGAGGAGTTAAAGCTGTACAATACCAATAGATGTGGGAGGAGTTAAAGCTGTACAATACCAATAGATGTGGGAGGAGTTAAAGCTGTACAATACCAATAGATGTGGGAGGAGTTAAAGCTTCACAGATACATACATGTAGAAACACAGAGTTCAAAAACTATCCCCTAGAACAAATTCTTAATTCAGTTATGTTTGCCTATGGGACTTGTTCTGTATGTGGCAGGCTGACTGTTCAAATGATAAAAATTCTAGTTGTATTACAATTAACCCTCAATTGCATCTCATGAAAACACATTTGGGGGGGTTTATCCCAAAACACAGGTCACCATGGATACCACATAATCCCACAATATTAACTTCCTAGAGGTGTAACAAGGTCCTGCGATACAATGTGGGATTATTAGGCCACATGAAAAAAGAATTAGTTTAGCATCAGCGCCCTCCTCAAAAAATCTTGGTTTTTTTTCTTTAAAGTTGTCTTTTCCGATATCCTTAGCTGTCCCCCGTAGATTCTACAATGCCCACACAACCTCGTGCACGCACATGTGACCTGAGTACATACACAATGCCATGTGCACTTCTGTGCACGAGTCTGAAGTGAATATGGCACATTCGTTCCATGGGTGCGGCAGTCCAGATCGGCATGCATACCAAAGTACATGTATTAAAAAAAAAAATCTCCTCCCTCCTCGTTTTTTTTTTTGCAAATACAACTGATGCTAAACTATCTTTTTTTTTAAGTGGCCTTACGGCTGGTACAGCGCACAGCAGAAGCTGTACCGTCAGTGTTGGGACCAACAGACGTTTACTCAGGGGTCAGCCATACACGAGGAACATCTTTCCTCCTTAGAATTCCCTCAACATACCATTCTGCGATGAAATTAATCCACAAGGGCTTTTTCACCGATATTCAACAGGGGATTATAGAACTAATCCTGACTAATACTTCAGCTGACAAGTGGCAAAAAGTTGACCCTATTTTTAACTACTGGCAAATTTCAACACAAAACGCTTTAAGATATCACACTGTCATTCATATCGCAATATGCGAGCTGCCTGAAAACTAGCATGACAGACCAAGGCCCCACCATGGCTCTACTTCCTTGGCATCTGAAAAGAGGCTAGGTTCACGTGAGTGTAGCTAGACCTGTTTATTCTTCACTTTTTGAAGTAACGATTCCGTGTAGAGCTAAGAGTTAACTGGTTCAAAATACCAACAGCAAGAGACGTCGGATGTTATTTGTTTCAAATGAAATGAACAATGAAAGCGGCTGTGGGCATTAATCAGTGGGTTGAACCTTTACGCACCGCATTCATACCGCAACAGATCTGCATTTTTTTTTCTTTATTTCCAATTTTACATTTTCCCCAAAAAACCTCACGGGTGCAGCATCAATAGGGCAGGTTGGAAAGCAGGAATCCTTTTTTTTGCCTGAACACGAGTCCCATCAACACCCCATTAGTAAATGCACTGATATGTAATGCGGCACTACTGCATAATTCAGCACCTGTGCGTATTTTATCTTTGGCACTGACGTCATTTGTAATGGAAACCTCGGCAAAGACAAAGCCAATCAGGAAGTTACGATCATCCACATACAACGCTTACTTTCCTTCATTTTGTCGCCACCAGAAAATACCTCAATTAATTAGCTCCAGTCAGTAATGACGGCTCCTAATGTTTTTTTCCAATTTTAGAAAAGGGTCCACAGATGTAACATGGAATGGCATATTGGTAAATGCTATCCCACACAAATGGCCCGTTAGCCATTCTGCAACAACATGTCATTAAAGTTAATAAGCTTGTTCAACTTGTGCATACATGTTAATATTAAGCTTCGATCAGTTTCACTCGAGGAATCCTAGGATGTAAATTTACGTGAATGTAAGGGAACAATAGCAACAGGAGCCATACATTTAATTCTTTATAATTTAATTATAACGGAGGCATCTGGTGCATTCCAAGTTGGGGCCCAGATTAAAAAAGAAAACCAGGATGCAGTCTGAAATTTAAGAAGTGTACACTTGACATGTATTTCAAAAAGGGGCATGTGAAATTTTTCTGGTTACCCACTCCTGCAGTGATAGTTAAAAAAAAAAAATTGGCTGCAAGTGTCAAGTTTCGATGTGATTCTGCCACCTGCGTCTTACAATGCATTACAGCTTACATTTGGCAGAAATGCAATGCAATGGTTTGAGAGGCTTATAGAGGCTTTGCCTGGCAGCCATCTTGCAGGGCAGTTCTTTTGTTCCACAGGGAAACCTTCTTTGTGCATACCCTATGAAACAAAAGCACTAGCCTGCCAGATGGCAGCCATGCAAACCCTCTATATACCATGTGTAAAGCACAGACCGTCATGAATTGCCATATGGCACTGATCTTCTGGATGTGCAAAAGCAAACCAAATTTATTTTTGCTGCTGGAAATATTTATACATGTACCCATACAATTGCTTTTGAAAATGATTTTAGAATTTTCAGCGTTGAAGGGCAAGTTGAGGATGGCTGTTTGCACCCCTCCAAGGGGGAAAATGTCACTGGCAATACCGTCCGTAGAAAACAGAGGTGAGTTAAACACCACACCATATCACACTCAGGATTGGTGTGTCTACCTACAGGACATAAACAGACAGCTACATGTGTGCTATATCAGCTAACATGTACATGGAATCTATTGTCAGAGAATGGAGCCTCCATTAGGACAAGTCACAGCATGGTGAAGATTGCATCGGAAGCAGTGGAATCTTTGAGAAAACAACTTGCCACAAGGGATATTTGTCACACGTCTTTAGGCAGCAATCCGGTTTTTTCTAAGTCCTTTTTGCACTGAACTTTTCAGTGTGCGTGCATTTCCGGTGGTGTTCAGAAGCAGTTTGCTAGCACCGATTTTGACACAGGCTGCACAAGCAGATCTATCCTGTAGTGACATGTCGTGCTCTTTTGTGCTTACTAAGTGGCTTCCTTGCTCCATCAAAATCCAGCACGTAGTCTGCAGTGAATTAACGGCAGAGGTGCACACCCCCCCCCTTCAGCGGAAGTTATCCCCTTTCCCCTGGCCGTCTCCCATTTGGAATGTTGAACACAGCCCATGTTAAACCCACAGTATGCTGTGTGGTTCCCAGGGGCCTCCTCAGGAATTTCACCCAACTAACACCACGACCACCGGGAGGATCTGCCATTCTTTTCACAGGTCAGGACGACTCCATTTTGTTCAGATCGAAATGAGTAGCACCCTTGGATCACTGCAGCATGTTTGGAATTTGAAAGAGACAGAATGCCTACTAGCAGAGTAAAAAACTGCCACAGCAGGTCAGACTTGACAAGGAGAACACAGCAAAGCAGCAGGAAGTAAGGTCCACTAATCTACACAAGGAGGGAAGTCAAGACACACCACAGACATCTCGTCATTACCTGGGTGGTGTCCGCCTCCTCCATGGTCTTACTACCACCTTTGGAGGTTTCATACAGATGACTAGCGGGCTGAACAAACAAAACAAGTAACAGAATAAAACGAACATCTTTAAAGTCCCTTGTACGATTTTTGAACCTGGGGTTTATACAGACAGAAGGATGCTCAGTGAACAAGCTTGAAAGCTGAGGGCATCACATCTTCACGGATGCTACAGTACCCTCACGACATCGGTATAGTCCCCCGCCCACTCCCTCTCAGACAAATGCCTCGCACTCTGCATCAACCTTTAGCCAGACCATCGTCGCATCCCAGTGACAGCTGACACTGATATCGCATAGAACATGTGACATCAGTGTTGTCATGGAAACGAGAGGCCTGGCTCAGCCTCGTCATCATGTAATCACTGAGGGAGATATCATTTCCTCATTCCTTTTTTTTAAAGAAACGTCCAATTTAACAACCTAACATAAAAATTTCTAACAAAAAAAGAGTCCTTTGTTCGTACTTTTTGTCAGGCGTGCAAATTGGACTTTGACAAAAAAACCAAGATTCTAATCTATGCCAGACTTTTGTACACCGTTTTTCAATTCTCGATGGCATGAATGTCAAGTGAATAACGAGGAAATCAGCTGATCCGAGGAAAAAGTGATGGCTGAGCTGTGAAAGATGAGCCTCTCAAAATTATCAACAGCATGAACAAATACACTTGCAGATGAACAATCAGTAACTGTGCAACGGGGAACGAGACAGGTAGTTGTACGACGACCGAAGCATACCTTGTTCGTGGTGGGTGAGGTCGGCTTGGGCTGCTGTTTCTTCATCTTCACCTTCCTGACCGGGATGGCGGGCGCGTTGAGCGCGTCCATGAAGTTGGAGCTCTCGTGCACTTCTGGTCGGAAACAAAAAAAAGGTGGAATCCATACATATCGGAATTCTTGACGAGGTCCACAACCTCTGTGGGAGTGAAACGACTCCTCCCGAAAATGTCAACGCTGACGTCTGCTTCCTCTGAGGCTCAGTTGCCTGAAGAATATTTCAAACAATGTCTACAATGCAGTCTGGCCTTCTGAGACTATATAAGTTGCAACTGTGCTATTTCATGAGATGCAGAATGTTTCAGAAGAATTAAGAGGTAGGGGAGAAGATACTCACCGTCAGTTCGCAGTAAAATCTTTTGGTACATGTTCAGTCATTTGCCAAAGTTTAAGACCACCTGGCATTTTATTGGCATTTCTGTCACTGGGCCTGCATTACATTGTCTCATTGACTGATAACATGTATTTACAGTGGTGCATAACATCGGTGTAGTGCTATATACCCATTTGAATGAGTTTTTTTTTAAAAGGCAGGTCTTGTATGACATTTTGTCTGTAAGGCACCTTGGGTAAAAAACGCTGATCCAGGTAGTCAGAAATAAAGGAGGGCACACTCGATATCAGATTCTTAACATTTCAAATCATGGAAATGTTGCCAAATAGCTGTTCAACCATGACACTGAGGTTACACATTGAAAATAAACATAAGTTGCCGTGATTGATTGGTTTAAAGTTTAGTCTGTCTTCAGGTTAATGCATTTTGCATTGGTGGTCCTAAACTTTTGCAAAAGACTGTAATCTTCTGTCCATCTGGTTCAGGCAGTTTCTCTAATTTTATATTCTTTGAAGAAGACACAAATCTGTAAGTTTTTGCTTAGTGTAGCAGGAAGCAATTTGGAACAGGTCCTTTCGAGTGCTACGCCTGGGTTTAATTTCCACTGCACGGGAGGGTAACGGCTCTGCATACTGAATACAAGACAACTATCCAGCAGGTTCAAATCTGACCATATTTTGTCCAGCTACGGCGGAGGGGGGGTGATTAGGACAGGACTGTTATGAATCAAACAAGATGTGCAAGAAAAAAAAAAAGATCCAGGGAGCTAATTGTCTATCTTTGGGGTTGGGAGGGGGGGATGAAATTAAGGGGGCGGACTCACGTTTAGGTTTTGCAGGGATGAGCTTGACCTTGCCGTGGTTGTTACTGGCCGACGTAGACGTGCTTGTTGAGGATGATGCGGACGTCGTGTTTGAGGACGGCTTTCCGGGAACGGAGGACGGAGTGTCTAATTTGGGTTTCTTCTCCGGGGGGAGGAGAGACTTTCCAAAGATAGGACTGTCAAATTCAGGATAGAGAGAACACAAAATAACGTCCGAAAATCAAACAGGATTGTGAAATTGTGAGAGGCTTATGATATTCACAATGTGCAAGGAGAATAGGTTATTTTCAAGGTCAGTTGAAGGTTTTCAAGTTTCATCGTTCTGCCTGATAAGGAGCAAACCAGTGAAGAAAATTAGACACATTACCCTTCCCGTTTGACGGGCATTGCCTTGTCTCCTTTGGTGAGGGTTGGTGGAGCTTCAACTGGCTTCTTCTTGATCTTGATGGGCGGCAACGTTGACGCCTTTTCTAAACCTTAAGTTTCGTAATGGAGAAAGTATAAAATTTTCCTGGTGTGAATTGTGGTCATAGCGAAGAGAGACTTTGAGACGAGAAGTGGCAACAGACAAAGTGGTCCATTTCCACTGCTGTGGGTACGCTCAGAACTACACTACATGCCCTGAACTGTGCATGCAAGCTCAGAACTGACAAAAAGGACCGACTGATCTGCGGCCACCAAGCATCGCAAAGTCTCCTGTCAGAAAGCTTCCGACACACCTGATACCTGTTCAGAATAAACATGACTTTCACCTAATGTGGGATTTCGATCGGAACAAGTATGGTCCTGAAGACAAAAAATGTTGATTTTGCTTCTTTCTGGACAGACTAAGGCCTTTGCCTACCTGTCGCCCTGAACTTGGTGTGGGCCGGTCTCTTGATCTTCGCCACTCTCGGTTTCTCCTCTTTCTCGCCAACTTTCCCTTCTTTCTCTGCAACCTCCTTGCCAACCTTGGACGGCAATTTCTCCGACTTGGGAGACTTCCCCTGCGAGGACAGCACTTTGCCCTTGGCGTCCGGGTCTGCTTTGCCGATGTTAACTTTCTTAGTCCTCTCATGATTGTTTTCCGATTTGGAACTCGCATTCTTCGCCATTTTGAGTTTTTTGGGAATCGGGTCACCATCGCCGTCCTCTGCATCCTTCTCGTTCTCCCCCTTGGGAGTCTCCTTCTTGATGAGTTTCTTCTTCTTCTTCACGACCGAGGAAGCAGACGCGGGCTTGCCGTCGGCATTCTCGTGAGTTTGCTTGATGACTTTCATCCACTCTGAGACTACCTCTTCCGCCAAGGACTTCAACTCTGTTGAAAGATTTTTCAAACAGACGAAAAAGTTCAGCGGGAGGTTAGCACCACCAATATACTTAGCACCAGCAAGGGACATGTGCTTCTGTCTGTACAGCCCATCAAACAATTTCTATGAACACAGTACTTTTACGGGAGTGCTTTGGTGGGGTTCAAACACATAACCTTCTGTCCACGAATCCAATCGACTTAAATGTGTCTTTGACATTTTTCTGAGGAATTCGACACTTGGAGAAGACTGAAAATTCCAAACGTTCTCAAAATGAAAAAATTGTAAAAAAAATCCACACCCATTTGGTGCCTCATAGTCAACTGATTAACCCTAACTCCCTCGAGTGATTTACTAGGAACCTTCCCCACCCTTGTAAATCTCAACACCAGATACTAAACCATGCACATAAACAGCTCACTCTGTTTATTTGTGGTACGCCTAATCCCCCATCAAACAAAAGTCAGTTTACAGTGCAGTGCCCATCCTAACAGATCCCAACAGGCCCAGGTGTTGGAGTATGAATGACTGAGGATTGTTAGGGTTATAAAATATTCAAATATTACTCTTAATACTAAGCACGATGTTCCAAGACCTCAACCACGTGTGGTTAAGTCCGACTGTGACTATGCTAGTATGTTCTTTTTACGCACAAATGACTGGTAAACATGGAATGGTCACAACCAACTTACTTTCATCTGTTTCGGTTTTACTCATCTGTTTGATCATCTTGGCGGTATTGTTCTGGATAGGTCACAAAAGAAGAACAAAGACCTTGTTGAAATGCCTCGCTACTGCTGCCGAGCTACCGCTAGATGGAAGCCTGGGGTTTGCAAACCTGGCCTAAGAGGCAGCGCTCGTGTTTGTGTAATATTATAGGGCTTCTACAGCCAAATTAGGCGTTTATACACATGCAGAAAAGCCATCAATGATTTGTGTGATTTCCCCAGAGAGATGCGCTGGCCCTAAGATTGTTTTATGGACGTGGCAAACACGAGTAAAAAGGATATAGTCCCTTGAAAGTCATACACAGCCAGTGATTTACATTTCTTTATTACGTTGCTGAATATAGATATGATAATTTGATCATCATACTGAGCTTCGGAAATGTGCTCATCTTTCTCTGAAAACAAGTGTATCATCAGGACGAGGGACCAATGCCATGCACGTGAATTGCTAAGCACAGGAAATGTTTTCTAACTGAATAACAGATTACCACCAAATGTAATGTAATATACATACTGCTTGTGACTAGTATACACACATTTGAGGGTGGATAGTTTACAGATATAACACAGTCTGAGAGTGGATAGTAAACAAATATAACATGGTTTGATGGTGGATAGTCGGAAAGGATTGGAAGTTCCTGAGGCGAATTTTATATTTTGGTTTTACCGTACTTTAGACACATTCAGTTGACAACTATTTCAGGAGTAAGGGAAAGGCACCATGTGCTAGTGCCTCCACCTGCTCATGTGAAGGGTACAAAGAGGGTAGTCAGGGTTACGCTCTCCAGTAATAATAACAATAATAATACTAGTAAACTTAAAATGCGTAGATATCAACATGACTGTTTTCAACTACAAAGTCTAAAAGGCAAACAGTAAAAAAAAAATAATAAATAAAGAAACTAATAATGTAATTCTCCTATGTAACAATTCCATGAACTATCCCCGGGGACCAGTTCAGTGCTGACATGTATTTGACTTGTGCACAGACCTTCGTGTGCCCAGCGGGTAACCACCAAAAATACCCACTGGCACACAATGACAATGGACCAGTGAGAGTTCAGCTCTCAATCTAGAATATGCATGACGTATGGAAATTCTCACTAATCCTATGCTTGGCAACTTAATTTGTTCAGCAACACTGGCTGCTAAGCAGCTCTGCGGAGTTGGGCTTGAGGCTCACCTTCTTCAGGATGTCGATGGTGACGGGAAGCTTTTGGAGGGCTTTCAGGAGCTCAGTCAGGAAGGCGATGTTGTTGGTCTCCTTGGCCTCCTGGAGCCACGTGTTGAGGAGCTCCCAACCTCCGTCCAACACAAAGCTGCAAGGAGGGTGAAAAACAGCGGGTTACAGTCAAGTACTCGTTTTGCAACCGCTACGAGCAAATCTTGGTTTGGCCTTGGCACAAGAGCCCAGTCTGAAATGTTCACAGGGTTCGGAGACCAATATAGATGTTAAAAAAGCTTTTTTCCCATATCATTATAAGTATTTGGTCCAAAAAAATAGAGAAAGTACTGTGGCTAATAAGCCAAAATAACTACAATTTAAACAAATGAAAATATAGTGACACGTAGAACTAAGATGACTGATATCTTGTCTTCAACCTTAACACATAGCTCAGCTCAATTACCTTTTGAGTAACGCTTCATCGCTGGTTGCCCGAAGAATGTTTATGTAGATGCAGCGACTGACAAGTTTTCTGGCTCCATTCATTAGGCTGTAATGCGAAACCACAACGAAATATAAGTCGATGCCGCCATTCAGACACCAAAATCCTCTTTTACAAATGCTTGCTGAATTGCATACACGAGAAGAATATTTACAGGCCAAAATATTGAATTCTCTGAATTATTATATGAATTATCATATTATTTACACTAGGAATTACACGGTTTAAAACAACTTCTCTTGCAGCAACTCTGCAAAGCTTAATTGTTATCCTGTTCTATGCTTGCAAAATTATTTTACATTTTAAACAGCCTGGAAAATTACAAAATCGGACGCCTTTCAGGATAAAAACAACTCCATACGTCAATATAAGATCTGGCAAGGGTGGTACATGTAAACAATGTTTCATTTGATAAACATTGAGAAGAAATTTCCCATACTATGTTCAGTCAACACTTCACCGAGGCTCATCAACGCCTACTTTGGTATTTACACAAATGCATATATCGTTCACCAACAACACACATGATCGGCCCAATGCATAAATGTAGATCGATGCCACAGGGCATTCAAAATTAGCATTTTTCGTGCTTTAAATTCAATTCTCCCCCCAAAAAGTAGATGGATGCAGATGCAAAAAAAAATCAATTATGCAGTTGGACGAATATGTTTATTTGGACTTGTCAAAAACAAATGCTCAACTATACATGTCAAACAAATGTCAAACTTGGGGAAAAAACAGGTTCTCTTCAAAAGCTTTGGAAAACCTACATGTTTACTGAACTTTTCCCGTTCAAACGTGTAACCGTCACACCCTTAAGACCTGGTTTACCGGTTAAGTGACAGCAGAAGAGACTGAATAAATTATAATGACACATATCTGACCCTCTCTACAACTCCCAGCACAGGTTTGACAATTTTGAAGTTGATTCCTGAACTTAGCCTCAAATTCAGATGCCAAAAACAATATCCCTACTTTCCATTCTCTCACAAAAAGTTAGGTCAACGAAGAAAACAAATAAATGCAACCTTCAAGCATATATTTTTCTTGAAACCTAGAGGAGAGCTTGGTTGCGTAAACATCAACACAGGCATTTGAAGTTTCCATGTGAATTACATGACACTTAAACAGAATAATAAGGTACACAAACAGTAGGAATAGTTCTTCCACTTGTCCTTTCTCAACTTTACCATTTGTACTTTAAACAATGATATAAGTTCCCAAATGGGCATACACAAGACAATAATTCCACAATCACTTACAAAAAAATTAATCAATCAATTAAAGAGCATTCAAGATAAAGGTGAAGCCACAGACAATCTCTGTCCTTTACCGAAGAAATATTCGAGTCGGGCTCCAAAAAATTCTGCATACAGAGAAAAGCAACTGGAAAGTAAAACATACCCAGCTATTCTTGGGACTTGAGCCTTGTTCTTGATGGCTCCGTCGGCCGTCAGTAAAGGCCCAAGAGCCTTCAGCAACTGGTAGGGATCCACGGCATTAGACTGAGTAAATAAAAACAAATTGTATAATAAAATGAATTAAAGATTGAATAAAAGGCACAAACAGTGTATATTTTACTCCTAATTTATAAGACGCAAACTGCAAGGCAAGACCTGTTAATTTTGTTTGGCGAAACAAGTTTTAAATTACTTGTTGCCTGCTGAATGTTTTTCTTCACCCATTTTGTAGGATTCTTCACCAAAGCTTTTTGAACTGTTGGGTTAGAACGAATCTGAACAAATATCAATATGCAAATTTTTCAGCAGTATTATTTGACAAAATTGAAGATGAAGTCATATGAACTGGAACACGGACAAGGAAAATTTTCAGGTTTTCTAGTGTACGCGATGCAAAAGCCAGCACCTTTACATGCCTATTTACTGTTTTGTCAAGCCATATTTGAACTTTTATCTTTTACAGGGATTGGTTCGCAACTTCACAAGAACCCGAACGAAACACCTCATTATCTTGGTACCATGCACACTTTGTGTGCCATGTTTAGTGGTGTCTATTGTCAATGTTATTACTTTCTTCATTTTACATTCACTTTTTTTCCATGTGTATCTAGTTTCCAATATTTTTGCTATTGTGCAACAACTTTGCAAAACTACATCTTTTGCCATCAATTTCTCTGTTATTGGGAAGTTTATTATAAAGACGGACTATACATTTACATATGGACTAAACGACTCAACAATTCTGCAAAGATTCAGCCAGTTGGCACCTGTTACTATTATGACTGCACTTTAAAGATAATTTCACATAAACTTGAGATTCAGTCTTCAAAATCCGTTGGAATTGTTATTTTCCATACAAATGCATTATTCTAACAAATAACTCGAGTAAAAGCTTATTTCAATCCCGGGGTTTCAAAAAACAAATATTTAGCAACTACTAACAGAGTAAATATTTTCTGGGATACATCTGACCTCATCATTTCATGGCCATTCAAGAACCTGTTTTTTTTCCTGTTAAATGTGTACACCCTTTAGCACCACCTACTTAGCGTGGACATTCGGTTTCTTGTAGTTTAAAAACTCTCATGAACTTTGACTCTACTTCTCCCCATATGGAAAAGATAACCCTTGACCCCCGCAGTGCCCCTAAACCTGCTTTTCAAAGAGGGATAAACATTGCGTGGACTTGGGCAAGTCCAGTCTTTAACTCTTTGCAGTTTTTTACAGGGAAATCTTTCTTTCTCAGGTGCACACATGGAATAGCTTGCTTCTACATAGAAATAACAAACACAAGAACATCGTTTCTTTCTCAACTGGTTTATTCACAGCATATATGTACACAGTATTTACACGTGTTGACACAGTAAATGTACATGTATATGCTCAGTACAACTTATACAGAAAACACTGTCGATTGTCTTTCCAAGCTGACTTTTACTTGATTTATGCACGTAACAGATTTAAGTAACGCATTTGCCTATGGATACAATGCGCTAAAATCTTGGTTCATTGGTCTGTTGAAGATAATGCATGAATACTCCAATACCGTACAGTCTTTGAAGTAAAATAAAGATTCTGTTGTATGCAATTCACACACCCCACCCCACCCAACCCAAAATATCTCTGCAGAGAACAAATTACTAATCTTGTAAATGAATCCGGAACTCTGCCGTAACAGTTATGCCAAAAGCAAGAAATTTGCATTTTACAAGTCTTATTGCATTTATAAAATGAAAACAGAAAATATAGATTGATGCTTTTGATGCCAAAAATTGTCTCTGCCAATGAAATCGGTCCCGCAGCAAACACAAACGATCAGCTGAGAACAATCAGCCAATCAAGTAATGAGCTTCAAAGAACTTCCCAGAAGAGATTTATTTCTTCCTACTGGAAGAATCATCATTGCCCCTACTACCTCAAAACATCACATTTGAGCATGTGCAACAATATGTTAATGCATCCTGTAAATAAGGATCTCACTACCAATAGCACAATACCCCCCCCACATGCATGGACATCATTATGGCAACTTCAGCAACACTCTGCCTGTGGTTCAATGGACCAATCCATTACTGAAACAGGTGGATCCTTTTTTGACCATTCTATGTCAATGCGACGACAAGACCCCTTCCGCATCCCCCTCACAGCCTTGTCACCCACCCACTTTTAGCAGCTGTCAGTTTATGAAATGAATGACTAGAACCTTTTTCTATCACTTTGCCTTCCTAATTTTGCCAGCCATTTTCCATTACGGGTGAATAGATAATTCAAACCCCCACAGATTTTTATCCCATCTTCCCATATGGAAATGCCGAGTTTCATCTATCCATAGCTCCTTTATCTTTAGGAGTTGGGGGGCTTTCTACGAATTCTAGTTCTTATTTTTCATTTATTCTGTACACAAATACGACTGGGTTTCGAGGCACAGACTCATTGCAACGGACAAAGAAATGACCACACCATACATGTAGCTTGTCTGGAAGTCAGTCTCATTCAGATATTGTGGCAATGAGTGAATTGCAAGACCACTGCCCACTCATGCGGAGGAAAATAATGACGTCTTGTAAAATATAGCCCCAATACATGATAGACGTGTGCACAAATTTGACATTTCAACACCAATACAGTTCAATGAATCATTATTGTTATCCAGCATATAACGGACGGCTGGAAATGTGCTATTCCATTTCACTGCCCAAACTGGTCATATGGAGGTGTCGTTGCACATATTGGAGTCCCGTTAACAATGGGTAACAGTGACCAGCCGATACATAGCAAGTAAGCAAACGAAACAAATTAGGTGCAATTGTGCGTGTCTCTGTGTGGGGGGGGGGTGTGTGCATGTTAACTTGAGGGATGAATGAATTCTGGATGGCAATTGCAGGTGTAACACAGGTGATAATGCTACAATGTGTACATGTACGTTCCCCTCCGTCATTTCATCCCTTGAACACTTTCTTTTACCCACATTCCTCATCTCCATTATAGTCCAACCGATGTCAAACCGACTAAATTTACCAGGTACAGCTTGCAAAGAAAAGTTCGGGGCCTGGTAGATTTATCAAGTCATCCCCTGTCCGATGGATCAATCGCTGATTTTTATTTTCATCTAAGCATATCAGAAGGGCAAGTTTTCTTAAACGGAAAAAACTGTCTGAAGAAATATTTGGGCATGAAAGTCTGTCTAAATGAAAAGGAATGCTGACCGATTCTTTTATCTGAAAATTGGGGGAAACAGTTTTACAGAATGCAGTTTCAGTTTAGGCTTGCAACAAAATTGCTTGCCCCGGACTTAACTGCAAATGTTTCTATGAGCAAAAAACTCCTCTTCCCTTTGCTCTGAATTAATTTATTGAGCACAGTACTAGTGCATACATTCTAAAGATCCGTTTTGTTCAACTCTTTTTCAAAAGCAGAGCCAAGCAGAAAGTGTCTGTAACCGCTGGACCCCCAATCTTTATGCCCCCCCCCCACATCCCGATGCATAAATTTCAAGACTTGTGGTTTAAGATGGAATGTTCAGTTAGGTAAAAAATATACTCAGGCGTTGGATTGTGAAGGAATTACAGTAAAAAGTGGTACTTTTCAACAGAGCCAATCATTCCAGATTTCCATTTAAATTTCCAAGCCCAAAGCAGTTGTATCAAGGGGGTCTTTAACTTTTGTTTTCAAACAAGAGAATTCATTATTTTTTGTAGTCTTGGCTTTCCCTGTGTTGGTGTAATTCAACAATCACAGGAGAGGTGTGGCTCAAAAAACATTCGCTGCTGAATTCTCGGGACACGAAATACATCTTTTGAAATGGACCCTGAAGTTAACACGTACATGTCTAAGAACTTTTTATGTAAACAAGTTTGATCAATTTTAGCTGAAGTTCCACATCCGCTGTCTATTGGAGAGTTTCGTTTCAAAGCCATCACATACATGACAACAAAAACGTGAAATCTAGTTTGATTCTCCCCCTGCTCTAGCAGTTGGAATGTATTTCAAAATTTTTTCAAAAGGAATCTTTTTAATGGGAAGATGGCGACCCTTCCTTCCCCACTGAATTTCTTCAAATGTCCCCCCAAAATATTCTGTTGCAAAGAATTTGCTTGTACGCAGATAATCCCGTGCCTCTCATATATTTTATTACATTCTCCTGCGGAACATTTTTATTCTTTAGGAAAAAGCAAAAAGCACACAGATACCGCACTGACTGAAGACGACTTCTCGTGGGCAATAGAGGGCAAGACAAAGAGCAACGGTCAGTAAAGCAGTCCAGAGCTCCTCAAGGTCCAGTTCAGAACATATAGGCCTCCATTCGTGTCCACAGGAGCGTCATCCGAGCCCAAGAAACTAATGCTGCCGATGGCTAGCCTCCTTCCAAAGCAAGACAAACGGAGGGCAAATTCCCTGGTATGAATCCACTTCATCAAGCCCAGTTACTTCGGCAGAGTTCAGAGCAGAATCCCGTCCACTATAAATCCTCACGTATGCGTAGCACTCTTTTCCTGTTGGGTTGCAGCTGCTGTGTACAAGTAATCCTATCGTGAATCCTAACTTGCATCCATTCAAGGGGTTGCGTCGCTGTTCGGGACTCAAACCAAAATTTTAAGTGAAACCTTTGTCCTACATGTACTGCATGTGAACTGAGGCCTTGGAAGTTTTCTTTCCTGGGTCAATCCACGCCAAATCAAACACCAAGTTTAAGCCCACAAACTAATTAATCATTTGCAAATACCACAGCAAAAAGTCATTATTCAACATGAAGTCAAGCTACATGATCTTTGACCTTTGACTCCTCGGGAGCTGCAAAATCCATTTTTTTAAATGTTACCAAAAGACAGTCGAGGGTATACTCATTGTGCTTGTAAAACATGGAAAATGGATCTCATGGCTTTTGGGCTGGGATAAGAACAGTCAAGTCAAACTCCATTAAACTGTACACAGTTGTTCGTGCACCTGCAACTGTGTACACACATACATGTGCTCACATGATCACAACTTTTTAGGCATATGACCAAAAAAATCTCTGTAAATTCGAAAATGACAAATCTGTGAGACTGATATTCAAAAGTGTTTGATTTGACCTGGAGTGGCCCTCTTTTTGTCTTAACAAAGGAGCCTGTGGGACACCAACTGAATTGAACGTCTAGACAAAGACGAGCACCCATGATGTAGTCACTGTGCTCGCAGTCATGTTGGGGTGTTTTCAGATCTGTGAGATTGCTTGATTCGGTTGATCTGTGACAAAATCTGTTTGGTCACCTTTTTTTGACATTACGAACTGTGGCAGATTACTCTGAAAGGGTGAGATAGTGGCAGATTTCATCCAGGACCAACTCTCTATATCTATTCCTGTATAATCTAACTGCAATGCATGTACGGATGTCAGTCCACTCGTCCAAATTTAAAGAGGAGGACCAACTGCTGGGCAGGAGGATTCCGATCAGTCACTTTCTGGAAGTCATTTTTTGGATAACTAAACCAAGTAAAAATCTCGAAAATGATTCATAAAAATGTACATTTCCTGAAACCAGACCCTACAGAAGACAACAGCTTCTGATGGCAAATGATGTTACACAGAAAATGTATACAGACTCACTCAGGTTTTATCAATACTGCATTACATGTATATGCGTCAACATGTACGCGCACCTGTTTTCCAGTATCACGGTGCAGTGTGGGTTTTTTGTGTGTGTGTGTGTGGAAACGTAACTTGAAATGTATCAGAAATTGTAAGTTAAAAAGTTGCTGACTGCGTAGTGAGGACCTAAATGGAACTGTTTTCTTATTGGACAGGAAATAATTACCATTTTCATATAAAAGATGAATAAATCTGTTCTGGATCTGAACTGAACGTCACCCCGGTGTGGGGGGGGGCTGTATCTGCAGGGTACAGACAGGGAGAGAAAAAAAAGAAGAGAACAGAAAATCAGTACCAAAATAAGTAACAACATCAAAGTTTTAGCCAAAAAAAGTGTTCCAGTATACGATTGTTGCCTTCTGTGCAGGGGACCATGGTGTTTTGTACACCTGCTGGGGTAAATAAATGCAGCACCCAAGGCAAAGCCAAAGGTGCCATTTGCCCCCGAGGGAGTATAAAACCCATGGCCCCCCCCTCCCCTGTCACAACAGGCAACAACTGTTTTGTTACACCACTGACTTTATGAATGCAAGGAATGAAGTGAAATACGTGTTACTGCGCCACAACTTTTTCACCTCACTGAAATTGTCTTCACTAAGAAAACTGCTGAAGTGGACGAATTCAACTCAATTTAACATTTTGTCTTCACATTTCTGAGAATATTTTCGAGAAAGCTATCTTATTCTGTCATGGGTAAGACCCATTAGTTGGGGGGGGTCTCCTTTGGCCCTATCATGCTAATCATTTCAGAATTCAGAACCATATTCACACATGCACAGAATGTTCCACAGTTTTCTTCGTGCCAAGACCGTCCTGCACAAAAGTCAAATTTCTCTCCTCATTTTCAGAAGAAAAAATCTTTTTTTGAAAAGACCTGCTGTCATCTGCCAAAATTCTCGACCAATAAAAATTTGCTATCTATTACCATGGTATGACAAATCTGTTGGACATCATGTGAACTGTTTAGCATATCTGTAGAAACAGCTATCTGTAACTTGGACCCCTTGGTTTTCAATTCCAAGTGAACCTGAACACCCCATTTTCAAATACTGGCTAAAAAAAAAACCTTGAACATAAATGTGCGACACTCCAACCTGAAAAAACTTGCTTTTTTTTAACAGGGGTGTGAGTGGCCACTTAAAATTAAAGCTGAAAACAGCGAGCAAAAAGCCGGAAGGTAAAAAGTTCCCATACTTCTGCACAGTCCAGGCGTACAAAATATTGAAATTCAGGGTCAACATCTACACAAAAAAGCCGAAATCAGCTAAAAATCTGAATTCTCACATCCCTGTTTTATACAGTGATGCATGTAAATTTTAACAAAATCCTGTGCACTGACAGATTTGTCGTGAAAATTAACACACACACACACATGCATAACATGAGTGGGCAAGTGAAACCATCAATTGGGGAAATGGGGTAATTCGTTAGTAACCTGAAAGTTTGCAATTTCTACAAGCTGTTCATAAAAACAAGGCTGTACAAATATACAAGTTACTACGGTCATCCAGCTTAGGCATAATGCAATTCTAATTTGATGGAGTAATCATTCCTCCACCAAACTCCTAATAACCTGACACTTGACCTGGACAAACAGCCGTCACCCAATTATGCAACTTTCCTGCATTTGATTGAATTAAAAAATAGCATTCATGACATACAGCATCAGTATACACTGTGATATAAGACCAAAACGGCATAAAGTTGCAGCTATATGTAGATGACATTATATATGCCTTCTGGTTTTTGGTTTTAAATAAGAGCAACAAGGAAGCTCCCATTTAGGCAATTTCTGAGAAACCTACACACGCATCGCTGTAAATCCAAACCATTAAAAGTAGGAAGTTCACTTCCTGACAATTTCAGGCTTTTACTTTTACGTTTTCATTTTCTGATTTTTTTTGGTGTAGCTTGAGCGATGGGGGGGGGAGGAGGGTGATGTGGCATGGCATGAGATGACTGAGGCAGATGGATCACATCCGTCATTACTTCAGAAGAGGTTTGTGCCATTTGGAAAGTTGTTTTTTGGCACAGTAGAGGACAAGTGAGGAGTCAGGGAGTTCATATCATCCCCCCCTCCCCCAAAGTTCTGGGGAATTAAGATCACATAGCCAGAACATTCCTTTAAACTAGCTGTCCCATCCAAACCGGATTATTAACCCTGATAGAGCTGGGTTATTTTCGACACAAAATTGGCGTTAAAATGACCTCGAAGTGTTAACTGAAGAAAAAACTCCTAAAGGCTTGGCCTGTGGGGGAAAAATGCACTGTATGTGGGGGGGGGTGTGTGGAATCTGCCTCCCCCAACCCCTCTTTTAGGGTTACATCTATCATTTATGATTTATTATACGCTTCAACCCTAATCCCATTGAGTTAACTCCAGTTCCCGCTGAAAGCAACCCGCCTGAGAATAAGCATGTTTTGCTGCAGCAGAATACAATGCCGGATCCTGTCGTACTGTGCAGTGTACAGGATAAGCACCTGCCTTAAACCCTATCAAGTCACGCGGTGTATTCTGCCACCTGTACAAACGGCTAATTGATGCAGAAACATAAATAACTCCTTCACCATTGACGTATCATGTTGTCTTCAGCAGGGATGGTGAAAGCACAACATGGTCAATAATTCTCCACTAGCTACAAAAAAAATGTGCCACTGATTCCCGCAAAGCACTGGACTTTGAGAATTCAGGAAGGTACTGGTAAATATGCAAGGAAGTTAAGGTAACGGCAGAGGACATTTCATATGATCTTCTTAATAAGTTTTTTTTCGGGGGGGGGGTTGGGGTCCCTTAGCTTATCATAGATAAATTTATTGATTTTCGCAGCTGCAGACTATAAAGGAAGGCTATGAATAGACTGATGTCGATAATGATGACAAATATATTTCATATGGGATATTTTTTACAAGAAACTGGTTCAGGCATTCAGTGAGCTATCAGCGACAAAACTTACGTCAAACATGCTTTAACTAATACATAAAAATCAATTTTCGAACTGCAGCATGTAGGCCTATAGCACAGTATGTTCAAGTCTGTGACGGAAGACACCACAAGACAAGTGTTAACCAGTGTGACCATCAAGGCTCAATTTGGAGGCGACAGCAATTCGGTCCAATCCTGTCTAAACCCAACCATGCTACACACCTATAAAGATATCACGCTGTGGCCAAGGTCTATTGGACTCTGAATTGACTAATGAAGAAGACCCTGTTCAGCATGTTGTATGGTTGGATCCAACAGCAGAGAATGAGAAACCCACCGCAGAAGTTAAGGTTAGTAAGAGTACTACTGCAAAATTTGCGATTTTTTAGTTCACTAATTTCTTCTTTAAATATAATTTTCAAATTCCTAATCCACATAACAGAGGCCCTCTGAGTGTGACTTATTGGGTTTAAGAATGGCTTCCAAACTAAGCATTTCAATTGATAAATTTGCTTTGCTTCTGTTTGGGAATAAAAAAAAGGTGGAACAGTGTCTATACTTTTAAAAAGATAGTCTGAAATGGTCCACAAATTGAACATGTACATAAAAGTAAATTTCCTCATTAAAGTCTTCATAAACGTGCCAAACTGCAAAACCTTTTGCAGAATATCTACAGAAAAACAGATATTCTCTTGTACAATTAGGTTGGATGTCACATTAACATCTATCAACATTTGTAGTGAAAATAACTGTCCATTCCCCTATACCCATGGCATGTATGCAGGGTTGTGCCAAATATATGAATATTACATCGATTATCGGATATTTGAATATTATTTTCTGAATTTGAATATTCGAATGCAAAATTTATGAAAAGGGAGGGAGAATTTTCTCTTTTTTTAAATGAGAAAACTTGCCCTACGGAGGCTTGTTTCAAGCAGATTCAAATTAAAAAAGAAATCATATGATCTAAAACATAAATTATTCAGTAACCCTAACCCCCTACGGAGTACATACAAGTAAAATCGTATTGAAATTGGAGGATTTGGGACTGTTAGGGTTAATCTTGCTAAATTGTTGCTGGAGACACTCCTTGACGTGAGAAGCTATTATAGTAATTATAATGTACAATTGTGCGCATTATTGCAACTGATCTTGGTTTGTTCATCAACAATGTGCCAATCGGTACAACCAAATATTCGGATATATTCAATCAAACTGAGAGTTGAATATTCAAATAGTGAATTATTCAAACTGACTCAGCCCTACATGTACACGTATGACTCCAGCTAATGTAAAGTACATCCAGGTTTCCCACAAATTCTACATGCATGGAACTTATGATTTCCAACAATTGTGCTGCCAACAGGAAAAGCTGCATATTACATGTACCACAATGAACCTTGGATTTTACAGAGTAGGAACAGCATTAAAACACCAAGGCATTTTCAATTCCAAAACTAAAAAATCCGAATGCCATCTTCGTGTTAAACAAAAGACAAATACACTAGACTAGCTCTCCTTTGTTGCACACCTTCATTTACGTTGTTAATCACTGTACTAGATACCAAGTTTTTCGCTTCACAAAGTGCATTTTCTTACACAAACTTATCACCAAAACCAGTCATGTTGACTTGCATATAACAGTGAAAATACATATATTTTGATTTTGTGTTTAGTAATATGAAAATGCACACCCTTATCGCATCATTCATTAGCACATCATTCTGTCATGGCTCCCGACTACAGGTAGGTTATAAATAAAAGCATATTTCACTCCTGTAACATGTCGGTAAATAAGTTACAAAACAGTTGACAGAACAGGATTCCATACATGGGCATATCACTGGCCTTCCCCTGCCGTGGCATATCAGCCATCTGAAAGCCATAGAATACGTCCTAAAAACATCAAATTTCGCAGGGATAATATTGAATCATTTACTCGGAATAAAGTTAGAAGACAGTGCTTTTCAGACCAGTCTGATAGAGTTCGTGCACAGAGTGTCAAGTGCTGTCCAGCTATGGAACTCTTTCCCAGCGGATTGGTACTCGGTATCTTGTACATGTATGTACTTTTCACAGTTTTATTCTTTGTTTAGTCATGGTTTAGTACTGTAGACTTCTAGACTTAACAAAGTTCCTGGGCAAGTGCAAAGAAAAACAAAACACAAACAAAACAAACAACAGGGGAAGACAATTTTCTTCATAAAACTGCTTAAATTTACTTCAACAGAAACAGACAAATTACATGCTACATGACAGATACATGAAACTCGTAATTTCTTTTCTTTTTTCGAGTCAACATTCACAAGAAAAAAACTATGCAACAGAACAAGTAAAAACCTAACAAGAAGGTAAAAGCTAATAATAAGCCCGCCTCATTTGAAATATTGAACTTATTTCTCTTTCAAATCATTTTTTTCTTTTAGATTTGGAGGAACACATCTCTACATACATGTAGAGTCCCCTCCTATGAAAATGACCACGAGGCCCACAGAAACCGCTGCCCAATCACCATGCTTCAGGTCATGTGACCGCACATGGCGGTATGGCACACACACCGTGCATGCACAATGCAATTAATGGTTCCCAGACAACGCACGGCGACAAACGTACCCGCGCTTCCCCGGCCCCGCAGATTCCACAAACAGAAACACTGACACAGTTCCCCCCTTAAAACTCAACACAAACCGCCTAAAGAGAAAAAAACACAACCAGTTTTCACACAAATAACCAAATGAATACTTACTGTTGGGGTCACACGATAACAAACTTTAAAAGCTTCCTTTTAACAAACGAAAAATCGACACGAAACACCGCGGTAACTTACATTTTTTTCCAACAGTCCCCCTGCAGGATCTGGATGACGTTCCCGGCACAACCGGGTGCGAGAGCACGCCGAACAAACCTCTTTTCTTTAACAATGCTTGGAAATACACTCCTAGATTTACATTGTACTTGTTTCAGACACCAAGGGGATCTTGCCAACTAGTTTTACATACTTAGTACGTCAGCAAGGGGACATTTCCAGGTCGAAATTTTAAACTTATGGCTCAACGTATGGCCTCACTTTTTCAGCAGAAAAATGACGCCCGCCATGTTTTTCTCTCAAGCCACGAAAACTCCTGTGCATTTCCCCTTTACTTTCTTGTAATAAACTGCAAACAAATTTGTGCAAAAGGATGTGAAACAATGTCTATAAGTCACCAGTCGTCACTTGGTGGACAACTGAAAGTTTGAATATATCGATAGAAGGTAATATTTGGGATTCGAATTTTCTCAACGAGGCCAAATAAATTCTCTCGTGCAACGACAAAAACGACTGACTGCTATCTGCGTATTTATACGCATGCGCTGAATGACGTCAGAGAGACGCCCTGAATACGTCGCATAGAACCCTTTAGCGTCTTACTTTTTCTTCATATACTCTGTGAAATTCGTCTTTTTTTGTTTCTTTACAAAAGTATGAATCCAAGGTACTCTTTTATACTGAGTATGTTTGGAATGCTATCATGATGTGAGAAATACGTTGGTCAAATATTTGAACATAAATCACGGCAAAAGCTGACTAGTTACGCGGTCTTCATTAGCTTTTGCGCTTTGCGACAGTATATTAACTTAAATTAATATAAGCGCTTTTTACAGAAATCATAGTAAAAACTATTCTTTTAATGGTAAAACATATACGTTTATACAATAATACTTTTTTAAAATTCTGCTGTCAAAGTTACGAAATTACTTGTTACAATCCTTTTTTTTTAATTTCAAAATTATTGAAAGAGCCTATTGTCAACTATCATGGCGGCCTCTATGAGAAGACTTTGTGCGAATTTCTCCATTTTAATTAGGGGGGATTTTGCTCGATTGGTTACCAAAAAATCCACTTATCTTTGTACTGTTTTAAGTAACAACCGTGTAAGTATTTAGGCCTACTACGTTAGGTGCGAACAAGAGTTTCAAAGTAACGTTAGGCCTACTGCATCCTGTACGTCATGCATGTCATGTAAGCCTAGCCCAGGTTGCGGTTCGCAGGGTTGGACGTATACGTTGACAATTAATTGTCTTCATTTACACTACGAGTGCGACTGACATGTCATGCATGGGAGTAACTACAGAATGCAGGGCCACGCTCGAATGTACCCCCTAGAATCACTGGCTATGATGTCACATTGGATCGGAGTCCGGGAAGTATGCGAATTAAATCCAAATCGAGCATGTCGAGTATACGATGTTGAAAGAGTTCTTTTTGAGAACAAAGCAACACAGAATGAATGGAGATGGTCGAAAAAATCTAGAGTGGCCCTGTATTCGGGGATTGTAAATTTGGGGACCCTGTTCTGATATTATAGTAGAAGGGAGAGCTACATTTTAACTTTTGAATTCACCTTGGTAGATGACTGTGGCATCATGCTCAGTACAGGGTTGTTAATGTCACAAAGGGCAGGGTTTTGAAATTTGAGGGAAATTATGGGGGAACTGTGAGTGTTTTTGTTTACGACATATGGTGTATTCAAATTTGCATGGCTAGTGTATAAGTCATGCCAGTAAGAAACTCACATTTTATCGCAATTTACAATTTAAAATTTCAAAAAAATTGGGTCAGTGCAATAAAGAGAGTGTTGCCTTTGTGTTGGGGGGACTTAACAGTTTTACAAGATTAAAATGTAAAAAAATTGAGGGGTCCCAAGTATACAATCCCCCGTATACGGAACTCTTACCACTCTGGTTAAGTCGAGGCTATAGTACTGACCATGCTGACTAGGGCCTAGTAGAAGTGCCACCCCTGACAGCCTGACTAATGTGCATGACCGTGTAGTCGCCAGGTCCCTAATTTTGACACCTGTTGTCAAGTCTGATTGGTTTTCACTGTTAGCGGCGAAATAAGGGACCTGGCGACTATACGGTCACACACGTTAGGCATGACTAGTGTGACTGTGCCTGCAGTACATGATGATTTATGACTCAGGTAACATTAGTAAAGTGCTAGGCCTACTACTACTAGCACTCCAGACATGCCAGACTAGCCTTCGTCATGTTTGGGACCCTATATCCTGTATCTGTTCTCTTCCAAAGTGAGCCAAGCTCTTTCTTAAAAAGCTGACACTGTTCTAGCGTCCACTGCTTCTTGGGGAGAGCATTCCAGGTGTTACTGACTCTTTGTGTGGGCCAGAGATGTGAAAGGGGATTCAGTAGCTTAGGGGGACAGGTTTAACATACTTAACATGTTTAAAAGAAGGGGCTTCCACCCATTTCCCATAAACAAAAAGCAACAAGTTTTTCATTTAAACTGTTTTTCTCATCATTGTGGCCTCCAACCTGTTGTAGTTGATTGTGCCATGTCGTTAAGAATAGTGCCCAAAATCATCCCAATGAGGTGTTTCTCCAGAGACAGTGCATTCAACTTGCTAATAATTTCAAATGATCTTGGGGTGTTTTATACATTAGTCTATAAACAGATACAATTTACACTCCGGGAAAGTGCCCAATTAATATGAATTTTTTCCCAATATTTTTGGTTAAGTATGTTAAGGCCTTGTTGCTGTTTTGATTTTTCGAAGTAGCGTAATTTAGTAGTTGCAGACAACACTGCAGTCATGGTAAAATAATCCCCATAGCACTTACATGACTTAAGGCCAGGCTGGCTAGGCAGTTGCTGAAATTGAGCTAAAATCACGAACAAGGTAAAAGACGAAATGAAAGTTCTAACAAAAGCACTCCCTACCCTCGCCCCTTGATTTAATTGAAAGGTTCAAATATTCCCTTTGTTGCTGTTTTCAGACACAATGGAGGAATGCTCCAAAGGTCCTGGCATTACCCATTAGACAGTGGTCCACCCAGGAGACGATTTCTCATGGTGACAGTCTAGACACAGCTGGGAAACAGGAGGAGCTGTCGGACGCTGACATAGCTGCAGGCATTGCTTACCTTCAAAGTGAAGGTCTGAAATGACAGACATGATAGAAATGGCAAGAAAAGCCATTTGGCGTACTTGTTGTGCATGATTTTTCATGTACTGACATAACATTTCCACATGAACTCGTTTCCATCAAATCAGCATATTGCAAATGCTCTCTCTGTAAATCAATGTACAAACCATCGCCAAGCCAAACGCCTCGATTTAATATTTTACAAATTTAAAGAATGCCAAACATTCCACCCAAAATCCACCAATGAAGAACTTACAGCAATTCTTGTATACCCTGTAATCAACTGACTACAGATCAACACCTGTGACTCTTCATTTAAAAAGGAAATAAACCTTTAATCTAATATTGTGTTTTTCATACGCTCTATTTTCAAGAGTACATTGAGCGATACGGTGAGCGGCCAGTGTTTGCTAATTACAGAAGAAACCACAAGGGACGTGTCCCACCCAAGGTAATCATCCTTTCGAGGAATGCAAGCAAAATTCACCATAAAATCAAGAAAGTAAGGAATGTTGCATTCATTTGACAGGTGTATTGATTGATTGATTGATTGATTGATTTTCAATACACGACCTAATTCTTGGATGGGTGAAGTCTGTAAAGGAACCAGTTGTGTAAACGCCAAACATAATTTTATCATTACTTCACAAAAGTATCTATGTATTTGTAACTGGATAATTCGGAGCTTACATTGGAAATTGGTGGTTTGATCTTCTGTGGCTTCATCTAATGAATACCGCACATCAACAAATATGTACACATGTATGACTTTCATTGGCAATTTCTTCCTTTTTGCAGAGGACAAGACTGATGTGTGTGGTGAGTGACAACAACGTATTTTGTGAGATCCTAGCATGCCTTGGCTAGATTAGTTGTGATAAAGTTCAGGCATGAGATCCTTATGCGCTGATTTGGCAATAGCAGCAGCATGTGCTAGGTCATAAATTTTACACTGCGTATGAGACTGGCTTAGACCGAATGTCTCTTTTTCCATAAATAAATTACTCAAGGTCAGTCCAGTATTTTGTCCTGTTTTTATCACTGAAGGAAGCACTGTTGTTTGTGAAAGTTTGAAAAAAATTGTTCCACTCTTTTCATCTCAAAAAATTGTCCCACCTACTTTCCATCTCAAAAAAGAGATTGATGAAACTAATTGGACAAAATGTTGTAATAAACAGTGTATATTTTATAATCCTTGTGAGAGTGCCTGTCAAAAGCTAATTTAGAATTGATATTTCTGCTGGGGCCAATTTCTTTGACAGAGAGGTAAGGGTGAGAAGCGAAGAGTAGCAGGCAATCCTTGCCCAGTTTGTCGGGATGAGAACCTTCTTCTTCACTACCAGGTGAGTACTGTACATGCCCGCGGAAACAGCTCGCCTAAAAAGGGTCTGGAATTTCAAAATATTGAGCGGATCACAATGGTGGATATGTTTCGTTCTTGGTGTCGGAGTGGCAAATCATATACATGTAGGCCACTTCTCTGGTTGATCCTTGAATTTGCGCCTGTAGGTATATGTGTGATAGCGGGTGCCTTCACTGACCCCCAGGACTGGACATGCATCTGCAATGTCAAAGTTAGCGATGGCAAGTGAATGAGACCATGCTAAAACTTGGTTTGCAAGAGGGAAGGTAGTCCGTCACAAAACGATGGTTGCAGGCTTGTGAGAATCCAGCATTTATTTTCTTCCACAGAACGTGAAACTCCTTCAGCAGTTTATCTGCCCCCACTCTGGCCTGATCTACTCCGATGCACGCACCGGTGAGTACCAGTAGATGAGGAAGTCCGTTGAGGATTGGCATCATATTTAGCCAAATAAGTACCTTGTTTTTTAGGAAACGGACAAAAATGAAATACTAGCGAGTTACTCAAGTGTGGATGAATAGGAGTGGAACTCGGAGTTTATTCCTCATTTGGGTTTGCTTGTCCCTCACCATCCGTAAAGGGTGCTGAGAAGGCCAAATGTACTTCACAGAATTTTCCGAAGGAAGGACATCGCAGCGACCAGTGTGCAAAGCATTATGGGTTACTTGCCGATCTGATCTCTGCCGCAGTCAATGTGCGCGTGTCATGCACTTGTGGAAGTCTTGAGCCATTTTTTTTTTCTCGCGTGAAGCGTATCAGGTGGGTGCTCTGATACGTCATGCATTTGCCATTTCAGTGCCTTGCGAGAGTGGTGGAAATGAGGAAGATGGACCGATTGGACGCGCGCATGCATCGGCTCTCCTCTTACCTTTCAGAAGTTACCGATAAAGCATTTTCATCTGAATTCTCCACAGGGGTTTGTCAGAAGCAGTACAAGAAACTCAGGAAAACCATCGCGGAGGCCAGGGCCCACGGTAGGATTCAATTTCCTTTCAGTAGTGTAAACGGCAACAGCAGTAGAAACCACTACTGCGGTGGCACAGCGCTCGCAGACAAGCGGTACGCCTTCGTTACTTGCTGCTTCAAACCATAAAGGTGTCCCGATTTACCAAATGCACACTTCCTCAAGCTGAAGAATGAGAGTGCGGCACTCTCACAAGTGTGACATCTCTTTGGATTACTTTATACAAATTGTAAATATCAAATTCAAATTTCAACGCATTAACTCTTTTTTTATATTTCCTCACTGTGTTGTGACTGAATGTTGTGGTACTTACCCACTTGTCAGACCTGAATATATTTCCCTGCACTCTCTGGCGTTGCGGCACACAGAACCACAGCAGAGTCGCCCGCCAGACCCTTGACCAGTTTTCCTGTGCCAAGGACGCGTCAAAATACTTGGCTGCAGCTTTCAATTATGCACAACTCTATGGGAAGTGGCTTCAGTCGCTACCATTGAGTCATGCACAATTTCAAACCACAGCCACGTCACACAATATCAAGCAAAATGTCAACAGCCCCCTCTTTTGCTGCTCCAGACCGAGCCACCAGATTTCCTTCTAGGCCGACTCCAGCAAAACTTTGATCGAGGTGAAATGGGTTTGTACTGCCTGATCCTGTGCTGTCTGGACGTACAATTATGAAGTCTAAATTTGACAACGTCCCCAGGGAAAATAGACCGAGGTACCGCTGAGATTGATTCAACTTATCCATTACATTGTGCCATGTGGCGTCACAGTGCAACATCTGTACCAAGTTCGTTCTGAAAACTGGAGTTAGGTTTGGATGAGTTCAAGCCTCCTCGCTCCTTTTGAACTTGACCATTTCTGCAACACGGCAGCCATCTTGGATTCCTAACTTTTGAGATACTAGTTTCTTGTTTCTTTTGTCCAGGGCTGATCCCATACACAGTGCCGTTCGTGGAATACGACTACCAGGAATTCTATGGGAAGAAACAGGCTGACGTAGGGAGTCCATCGTGATGTCCACTGGCCACCTGCTATTCATAATCTTAACTGACAAAATTTAGCTTCAGAACCGCCTATAGGCTATTTGTGACCCGACTTGATCCTGCAAAATGAGTCTTCAAGGCCACTTTTTGGTGATTCTGTTTCACTTTCCAAGACAGAGCAACTTAAGTTTTTTGTTTCAAAGGATCACCCATTTTTCGGCATCCTGATGACTATGGACAATGTGACTGAAAAATTTGGAGGGCTCCCACTGATTTACAGTGCAGGATTCTGTTCAAGGGCTTCCACTCAAACGTTGGCTCCAGCGACTTGTGACTCTATTTGTTGGGTTGGATCGCATATGCCTTCTGGCATACTCATTGTCGGTACTTCATGAGCCCATATCTCTGAATCTGGAGACCTAAAAACCAGACAAAACCACGCATTGAGATGAAGCAAGGATTTGAAGAAAGGCATATGGCTATATAAGATGTAAGCCCGATGTCGTGACACGATCAACTGGCTGTAGCTGGGATAAACACACATCTAAGGGAAGTTAGCTCCAGCCACTAGCCTTCATACATTGTAGGGGCTTATGTATTGAATCTGCAGCCGTAACATGTAGCCCCACTGTGGAGTCCATTGAAAGAAATTTAGTTAGGAGCAAAGTCATAAGTCGTTAAAATGTTCGGTTCGTAAGGGACTTCGTCACAATGGCAGACGAGCCAAGATTTGCAGGCTCCCATTGGACGATCGCTGAAGTTGCGCGTTAACTTCCAGTTCCATGGTTCCATGTAAACGGTGATCAATGCATGTAACTCTATGTGCAGTGCTTGTGCAGTGGGTGTGGTTTAAACTGAAGTGATGTCACACTTACAAACCGGATAGGGAACTGACGAGGGACCACAGTTTAACATTTAGCAGTAGCACTGTTACTTTTTGCAGGTCCTATAGAGTACCAAAGTGTGACATCACTGTGATTCAGAAAGTGCAGTGCAAAGGAATGGAGCGTGCGCACGTGTTGGTTCACGCGCTGGTTCTCACCCTCTTGCCTTTGACATAGTCCCTTCGGTATTCTATCATAGTTTGGGTTTTATGGATTGGTCTATTGACGGCTGATGCCTGATGGCCTTATTGCTTCGTTCTATTCTCACAATACCATTTGAATTCTTGCAGTGCTTACAATTTCACACCCAGAAGTTCCAGTTCTGTCGATACAATGCTTTTATTGAGAAAAATGTAAAGACCAAATTTGTAAAAGTTCAGACAGTTACAGTCCGCTCTTGATATAAAGAAAAATGTTGAAATACAGTGGATTACTGTTATTACAAGGTCCCTGGGACTTAACAAATTCTTTTTTTAACAGGTACCCTGTACATATACGTATAAGTTTCTCTATAACAGAGTAGGAAAAAAACAGATTAAAACTGTCCCAGTTATAAACATGCTCTTTTATCAGAATTCTGCAAATACATTTTCCTCATACTCCTTCACACTCCTTTTATAACAAAGTCCTGGTTAGAACAAAGTAATTTGTCTGGTTCCAGCAACTTTCTTACAGCGAGACTTGCCTGTAGACTCATTTACATTCAAGTCACCAGGCTGTGCAGTGTTACTCAATACATGTAGACACCAGTTAATTTATGTTTATTCCACTGCTTTGGGCTCTATACCATGGCATAAGACAAACTCTCTCGATCATTGATGGCTAAAGCCCCCCTTCATAGGAGAAGGATAGCTTTGACTTTCAGCATGACACAATGTCTTGGCCTTTTTCAACAGAATTCTGAATAAACAAACAAACCTGATCAGTCGATACATCTGTTTAGTTGTGCAGTCGCATGTATTCTCGATGCAGTGGCAGCTATGCATCCCTTCACAAACCCTTGTCAGTCCTGAAGCTTGAGTACATAGTCCTTCAAAGTATCAGAGATGCCGTTCTGTCCAATGGTCATTTAGCCGAGACAGGTTGGCCCAAAGTGTAAACATTTCCCATTGATGGGTGCACACTGTACGCACACTTTGGAACATGAACATCAACTCGGGAGCTTGAGCTCACTACAGAGTCATGGCACTTGTGTTCACATAAACAATCCGTGCGCATAGCACATTGTACCATTTAAGTCCTTAAGTCTAATGGTCGTGACATCTGGACTGTGGCGTATCCAGCAGGGGGGGGGGAGATTTTTTTGTCAATTGCTTTTCGCTTTTTTACAAAGATATTTCATAGATGAGTAGGAACGAAGGAATTCAATATATTTTATCAAATATTAAAACCGAAATCCCCCAAAACCCTAGCAACGAATGTCACACACAAATGGCTTCTCTTTGGTGTGGACCTATTTTTGTCTGTGAAGAGACCTATTACGTGAGAAGGCCCTTGCCACAAATTTCACAAACAAACGGCTTCTCAGTGGTGTGGATTCTTTTATGATCTCGAATATGACTATTACATGAGAAGCCCTTGCCACAAATTTCACAAACAAATGGCTTCTCCTTAGTGTGGATTCTCGTGTGTCATCGAAGGGTGCTACTGTTTGAGAAAACTTTGCCACAAACGTCACAAACAAATGGCTCCTCTTGAATGTGGACCCTCATGTCCAAGGGCATCCCTGTTTGAGAAGCTGTTCCAACTAACGTCACCGACTGACCATCAAACCACTTACGGGTGCTTGTTTGCTGGACACCCTCAATGCGTATGTCAACCGAAAGAGGCTTTTTTTGTCACTTGTGTTTACATGTATGTGCTGGAATCACAGTGTGGGAGAATCATTTTCCATAAAATGTCTTGAGCAACTATCTTCTTCGGGTCTTTGATGCTAATATCTCACGTGCTACCCACTCTGCCACATGTGCTAAGGTTAATCGGGAATGTCAAAAGCAAATGTTTTACCATGTATGTAGAGTCTCATGCTGCAGCAGAATATAAGCACGGATTCCTTCTGGTTCAGCTTCAAGCATGATTCTAAACGTCACCACACACGTTGAGAAGTAAATGCCTTAACTTTTAAGTGTGGATGGTGTCTTCTTGGCTGCCGATGCTTACATGTTGGAAGCCTTTTCTTCCCTCAAAAATCCCTACGGGATGGTAGGGTCACAGAATGCAGTGTCTTGGTTGACTGGTCCCTTACCTCTTGCACCTGTCATAACATAAAATAGATACACAGGTGTGACGCAAACTCACCAGAACAGCACGAGAAGTTTGATATTTTCCTTCTAAGGCTCATAAAAACCAGCTCCTGTCCAAGGACAACCAAATTTCTCACATGCCTAAGCAGTATAGTATAGCAGGAAGTACATTAAAAAAGACAATAAAAACGGACCGACCACCGGAACCTGAATTCAAACAGGTCGTGACCTGTCTCTGTTGTTCCATTGGGACATGAATTCACAAGTTACCATTCGCAATTAAAATTTCTCCATTCCTGATTTTACAAAGAACCACATGCATGGTTGCTGCTGTGCAGTCTTTCAGTTGAGCTGGTGGTTAATCCCTGCTTTGGTACACAACCAAATCTAACGGTTGGAGAATACCTTGACAGTTTATACCCTGCACGATATGCGGCAAAGGGGGACCCCCCCAATGTGATGCACAAGCTGCATACCCTAAGGCTATTGTGCCTCCTGCACCCCCCCTGGGAAATCTGAAAGGAATTCCAAAGATTCCATCAACACAAAAGACAACACAATAGAGGGGGGTCCCCCTTTGCCGCATATCGTGCATTATATGTGACAGTTCGATCTGATCATGGACACTGCTCCCTGTGCAGGCATGTTTTTATCATTAGCCAGAGAAGCATGAGGGCTAGGGCTAAGACATGGTAACTGAAACTTCAAATAGGCAGTCTTTAAACTGACTGAATACTCAGATATTCAGTTGCATCAGGTTCCCACAAAGGCATAAATAAATAAGAAATAAGCAAGTATTTGAGGTGGTTAGTCCCAATGAATTTCAGCACATAAGTCTGTCCTTTTGTT